GGTGCGTGCTTATGGAAGTGCAGATGAGAGCCCTCACGCTTGACGGCCTGCAGCAGCAACTCGCGCGGCAGCTCTCGCGTCCCCGGGGCAGCGCCGCCAATGGCCACGACGAGGCGGCCCTTGCGCCTGCCCTCGTGGCTCGTCAACAACTCGGCGTCGAAGAGGGGCTCGCGCGATGGCACGCAGCAGAAGATGACGTCCGCGTTGGCGACCTGCTCCCGCGAAAGGCGGGCGTACTCCCCGTACCCGGGCGTCAGCACGCCAAACGTCGTGGCAGACCAGCCCTCGCGCGCCTTCGTGGCGGCCGGCACGGCATGGAACCGTCGCAGGATCGACCGGGTGTTCTCCGAGAAGGACCGGGCGATGATGTTGACGTGCTTCACTGAGCTGCCCCGAGAGAGGAGAGCGAGCCGAATATGCCAGTATGTCTGCAGGCCGGCGCCAAAGGCCGTGATGGTCTTGACTGAGGCGCGCTTGGAGAGGAGACACGATGAGGCGAGGGCGGTGCGGAAGGCTGTCAGGTTGCGGGCGTGGATGAAGCCCGTGGGCTGGCCGAGTGGGGAGAGCAGAGTGAGGGCGCCTGTAGGCTGGATCACCTTGTTGTCGGTGCCGTCGCTGAGGGTCACGACTGAGGGACGTCAGGGGTTGAACGTGCAGTGATGGCAGAGTCTTACCTTTGCAGCCCATAGCCGTGGGGCCGCAAGAGGGCATGAAGAGTGTCGTGGCGCCTGTCTCGTGGTTCTTCATTGCTACCCGTTCGGGCTGGTTGCCGTCATCGTAGGTCGAGGCATTGTTGGAGTAGCTATGCAGCGCCTTGGCGACGGTCATCTTGAAGTCCTCATACTCTTCGCGGGTGAGGTTCTCGAGCAGACCCGCGACCTGCTCGTCGCTGAGGACCGTCAGAGGCATCCTAGCGTGTGTGGTGGGAGGCCGGGAGGGGTCGGGCCAAGTGAGGGGCAGAGGCGGAGGTGCCGGTGCCGTGAATGTGGGGGGATCGGAGCCGAACTTTCTGCGGACCGCTTCCGGCGGGATGTGCTGGGCAAGGGGGCCGTGTCTGCCAAGAAGAGGAGGGTGTTGTCTTGGGTGGTGGAGGAGATCGCGCCGCTGGTGCAGGATTACGCGCAGGTTCATCAGTGAGTGAGCCCTAAGTGATGCGGTCGAGTGGGACGCGGCACACAGCATGGATCGGGTTGTTGTCCCGAGTCATGCATGCTGTGAGCACTTTTCGATGTCAGAGCTCACCTCCCTCGCGAAGATATCGTGGATGGAGTGACAGCATCCAAGGCCCCAGAAATGATTGTTTCCTTCCTCTCCAGGGAGATTGATCGATTTGATCTGTCCAAACACTCCAGTGTTCTCATGCATTCAACTTGACCTCATCTTGCCACCCTCGTGCACCCACAGGGCCGTAGGACCTGCCTTCTTCAGCAGATAGAAGCACGAAGGATCAGATAACAGGGTCTCGTAGTCTTGGCAACCGCATCGCACATTCGTTTAGTCGTATGGGGTCCGATACCCGCGCCAGCAACCAACGGCAAGAGTCCCTCAAGACTGAGCTGCAGAGATCAGGAGTTCTCGCCACATCTCGCATGCTGCCAAGGACGCCTCTTTAACAGGGCCGTGGGCGAGATAGCCTCACACGCTCCACACGAGATCAGGCTTGGCTGCACGACGATGGAGATCGTCAGTGCCTGAGAGACGAAGGCCTATGAGGCATCGGAGAGTGCGGCCGATGGCCAGCTTTAAGGGAAAGCCAAGACTTTGCTGTCGGGTACAGGTTTAAGAGGCGGGTCAAAAGGGGGTGCCTTCAGTTTCCACGTATCACGATGTAGGTGAAGATTGCTGAGATCATGAAAGCATGCAGACGAGATCTATAAGTTGACTGTTCCCAGCCATGGACTTATCAGATCTTCCATCTGCTCCATCACCATCCCTCTCCACCAACACAAGCTTCCTACGAACATGCTCCCTACCACCCTCGTAGGTCATTCCATGGAGCCATCTCGATTCAAAACCTGACCGCCATCACAGCTGAGCACCCTCCTCGCCTTGGCGGCAACCGCCGTCGCGCTTCCTACCCTCGCCGATGGCGCCGCCGCCGAGATCGTGGACCGTGACACCTCCGACTCGAAGCTCGCCGAACGCCAGAAGAACCCCAACTGCTTCGGGGGCGGCTACTTCGAGTGTGTCAACATGCACAACTTCGCTTGCAACGCAGGCTGCATTGGGGCCCATGGCGCTGCCAAGATCAGCTGTATGATCAGCTGCCAGCAGCACAACCAGGACAATTGTGCCCGTTGGTGCGCTTAGTCGGCCGGGGGCACTGCTGTTAGGGGTCAGGGCGGTAGCAAGTAGCTGGATATGTCGGATGTCTGTCACGTCGAATGTCTGTCGAGTTTCGCACCTTGTTGGCGTTGCCCAGATGGGAATTCAAAGGGCATGATGTTCAACTGGCTTGAGAGAGTGAGAGGATCGATCCTAACTTATGACGGGCACTCGATTGTCACATCTTGTTCCAAGGTCCAAATTGACATGAAGTGTATGTTCTCAGAAGACGCCCACAACCGAATTTTCCCAAACTTCAGTCCCTGAAAGTCCTAGGCCTGAAGAAACCGATCATACGAGCGCATGCAGCCAAGATGCTTTCCGGGCGTCGAGCAAGGCTCGAGTCTTGCTTTCCACACGACTTCCACCCCCTGCTTTTCCAGGGCTTTGAATGATGCCAAACAGGCATGGTAAGGGAAAATGCCATCTGGGAATATGAGCCTCTTGAACACTAGAAATACTCCCAGTTCAACAGCCTCAGCTAATCCTCTCAGCGCTGGCACAAGGGTCTCGATGTGTCTTGCGCAGTTGCGGTCATAGCCACGCACCGCCAGCACCTCCAGCGAAGGCGGCATGATTCTGACGAGCCAGTCTGCGGACAAGGGAGAAAGCGGGGGAAGCGCATGATCGATGCCCCTCCTGATCAAACTGAGGCTCGTGTCAAGAACCTGCAGCTTCTTCAAACCAGCCAGTTCGGAAGACCATATCATGGGCCTTATGGTCTCATAGTGGAAATATTGCATGTTGGAGGCGACGTACTTAGCTTTCACGACTAACGTAAACGTAGCTCTCACCAGCAGCTTGCGAAGTCCGGGGGCGTGCTCCAGCAAGGCAGCTTGAAGGGCTTGTGTGTTGCAATGGTACCCAGACCTCCGGCTGGGCACAACGTCAATGTGAAGGCTCTCAAGGGCCGAGAACGCATGCAGCATGAGTGGCATATGAGACTCTGCAATGGTGAACTTCTTCAAGCAGAGCTGCGTAACGTAAAGGAACAGAGGGGCTGGGGCGTGAGGTAGGGAACTCGGTGCCGCCACTTTGTTGCCCACTCGCCTGGCCCAGAATTTGTCGTCCAAGATGTGCTTTCCGCCGGAGAATTTGTCGATCAAGAGGAGGGAGCGGAGATTGGCGCGACGAGGGCAAGCCGATCCAACGGTCTCGGTGGTCGTTCTCGAATAGACGCAGTCGGCCAGTAGAACGCGACCGTGGCCGAGACAAGATGCGGGAGGCTGTCGAGTGGCATCCCGGGAAGAATGGGCTTGAGGCCATTTTGGAAGAGAACGTCGGTGAGGTTGGGCAAGAGGCCAATGGTAACCGCTTCGCAGATCTCCTTGTTCCAGGGCATATCCCCATTCTCGACCTCAAAGTCATGGCCATGGAGGCGTGGCCGCTCCGAGCGCTCGTACTGCACCACACGAGCGATGTGCTCTCGAACAATTCCGGCAAACTTGGGGCTCAAGTAATTGAGACGTGAGAGCCAAGCCGAAGGCTCCCACCGTACGCAGCTCAGAGACTTGACGAGAGAGGCGAGAGCGGGGCTTTCCACGAGTGTCCGTACAAAGAGGTGGGGACGCTTCGTCGTCGGCACTGCGTACAGATGCTGGCTGGCAATAGAATGTAGTTGGCGAGAAGTCAAGCAGAGACTTCTTAGGCAAGACTGGATGGTTGGGATATTGCGCCCCGTGGCAAAGTTCATATCCGCTCTCAAATCGCTGTACGCCTCTTAGCCCGAAAATTCCGCTTTTGTTAGAAAAGGCTGCGACTCACCTAATGATGATGTCCCAGAGCTCTGGAGGGAGTGGCGCCATCATGGTGATGGTATGTGGTTATAGTTGTCGTCTTGTTGTTGTCGTGTTGTTGGGACTTCAGATGTGTATGCTGAGGCAATGTGATCTGAGGGAAACGTTGTCAAGAGCACTCCTGAGCAAGAGCATCCATTAAGAAGAGGAAATAGACAGGCATCTCTGTTCCCCGGATCCACCGTAGTCGGTCATGCAACTGCTGCTACCTAGCAATTGCGAAGTGACTCCTTTGCAGGAAGAAGGCAGAAACACTACATGTGGTCAAGGCCTTGACGGCGTCACCTTGTCCGAATATCTTTGAGACACAATACGTGACACCAGATTGCTCCAGAAGCAGACGCTGCCTAAGAGACCCTTGAGGGAATGCCTGACAAAGCCAGTTCTCGTCAGGTCTAGAATAAAGGTCCAACAACATCTTTAGTTGGAGATGAGCTGTGATATGCCTACCCTTTGCCGCCAGTCGTTTGCTTGGGGCAGAATCCTCACATCAGCTTCTCTAGCCCTTGAATCGTCAAGCTTGGACCCCCTAAGACCATTGGCCTGCTCTTTGCATTATCCTGAGGGTTACCATGGTTTTCTGTTGTCACTTAAACGGATGAGAAAGCTTCTAGTGGCTTTTGATCCCAGCATCCTTCTCTTCAATCATCCCCTCCTCTGAAACATACGCCGAGGCAAGCACCTAGTAAATGTCTGATATGTCGGCCAGGTCACTGCACGTACAAAGAAGTGCAGACTACCTAGATCAACACATGTACTGCTTCTCAACAAAGACTTTTAGGATCAGTGCTGGGAAGCTTGCTGAGAAGACTGGAGTAGAATCGCCCCATGAGCCACGCGTCTGTCGTGAAGGCACCCCAGTGGTCGGGAGCATATCAGTCCGGAATGGTGTAATGGTCAACATTTGTCGCTCTCATGGAGAGCGCCGACAGGCTCGGGGTTCAACTCCCCGTTCCGGAAGTGTCTTTTTGCCGCCTGCTGGGCGAAGGACCCAGCCGTGGCTGTGAAAGGGGCTAGACCATCATGTTGCGTTGGAATCAGTCCGGGCTGTGTTGGTGAGGTAGACTTGAAGACGGCGAGGCTCTGGTTCTTCCGGAGCACCATCCGGGAGCAAATGCGCCTGGTCAGATGAGCCCAGCCCCGACACATTCCCTCAGATCGTCAGGAATGACGGGCCAACTTCAGGTTACACAGGCGCTTATCAATCCCTTTCCCGATGTATGGCGGTCAGCCAGCTCACACCCGACCTCGACATGCATGAGACTGGGTAGGATTGAGCCGTGATCTCAAGGGTGTGGCTGATCACGACTGGTCGGCAAAGGACACCTGCTGCACGCCGAGCCTCCTTGTACGACCTGAGAATCTCAGCCTGACGCGAACATGGCATAAGTGGCATGCGGGAAATAACGCTTCGGTGTGAGGGGTAATGCGCCAATGTTTTTTGAGGCTCAAGCAGCTTCTGGTGCCATTCTCCAATCTCCAGCATGACCGGTTTTCCTATTTTATGAAGTGTCTCAATGTGCAAGGCGAGGATGCTCCCTTTTATTTAGTCCCAAATTTACGCCCGGAGCCCCAAAGTTTCACAAAGGCAGATTCACACGTGGAATTTGCGCTTCTTCCCGGCTCTATCGGGAGGCCTCTCGCCTCATACGAAGTTCAATCGTCTCGAACAACAGCAAGGAGGAAGCCAACCGTGCAACAGTCCTGTCACCATCCATCATGCCACCGACTCCTGCAAAGAGTCGCATGAAGATCGTGTCGTGTCCGAGCTACCGCCTCGACAGGGATGTACTCCTGAGATATCTGAAAGACCGAGCCTTCCCAACCCACAAATACAGGGATCTCATCAAGGTGGAGGTATGTTCTCCAGCAGATGTCTAGATACATGAGTAGCAAGCTGACTTGACGTCACTCACACAATTGTAGGATTCGACTGGACAAGAAGAGTACCACATGCTGGTTCCCTCCAAAGGGCTCACGCAGGCAAGTGCAAATCTGCCGCAGCATGACTGTGCGGGCACTAGATGGCTAACGCAGAACTTGTACCTATTAGCAACAATTCGAGGACATAGACGGCCTGCGGAGACCGTCACCCGAACCAGATTGGTAGGCGGAGTTTGTTCCAGAGAGACCTATTGATGGAGTCGCCCAGGCATGACGACCAGTCGCCACTGGTGATGGAGGGTGTCAAATTGAGAGATCAAATTATCTAACCCTGGCCTGGATGCAGAGACAGCTCACCGGTCTCTGTAAAGGGGGTAAATCGGTGGGGGCTGGATGGTCAGGGGAGGAGCGAGGTGTGCCTAGGGGATTGGTCGTCCACTTCCTACATTTTGGGCACAGAAGCCTAGCCAGCGACCACTACGAGTACCAGCCTTTGCCCAGGCGGTCATGCAGGCCGACTCAGCCCCAAGTGGGCCGCGGTCGATAGCTGAATTCTGAGACTTGGTGGCGGTTAGGCTGTGCTCGGTCAGTCGCCGCGAGGCATGGCCCAGCCTCACAGCCATGACGGCGACTTATTTCGACGGGATACATCAACTCTTTAAGAGCCCCACGGTGCTTCTGATTCTACCTAACAAGAAGTGATACTCATAAGAGCAGCTTCCAACTACAACTTGCGATACCGGTTCCATATCCGCCACGCGTGTGGATACATCGACCATTGCGACTCTCACGCTGCCCAAGGGCGTGCCGTGCAGGTGCCCACTCCTCAATCAGCTCCCCAGATATCAGCTCCCCAGATATCAGCTCCCTTAGATATTCGTCATGTTCTCCCTACCAGTCGACACCGTTCACGATTCGCTTGCCGTTTCATTTCAGAACTTCGTGCAGTACCCGGAGAACCTTGTCGCCAGCAGGGAATTCCCTCATGCCCGCGAAGCTTATGCAAAACGGCTGGATGAAAACGCACCAGAAGTTTTCCAACAGTCCGATCCTTCCCTAGTCGGCTGCTTGGACCTCGAAGCTGATGGCAATGGTGCGTACCCAAGAACTCATCACAATGATGCACCTAGTCCAGTTGTTGAGCCCCAACTCACTCAAATCTAGGAGTGCTCACCCATCGGCAACAGATGATAACAAACTTGGAAAGTCTCAGAAAACTTTTCATCACCGGGAAACCAGACCCTTCTTGCAGATTCATGTTAGTCGCCCCGGCTGACAATATCTCCGGCTCATCAAACTTACCGATTCAAGCTATATCCGATCGAAGACATCCCGCAGCTTTCTCGCATGCTCTCTGGATGAGATGAAGCTCATTCTCACCGTCCATCAAGTCATGACTTCCTTTGTCGATCTGATCCTAACATTTCGACGAAGGAAATATCCTCACAGATTGGCTAGCTTCCGAGTTGAGAATCACTTGGATATGGCGTATAAACAGCCAGGACTGGCATCCATGGGGCGCTCCGGCATCCGTATCCAGCACTGCTTCAACATTTTAGGAATGGAGAAGGACAGTTCCCACGTCTGGCAGCCTCGACAGATTGCCGCATACCACTCATTCGACGCTGTCAACGGCAGAGCAACTTGGATTATCCTGAAAGGGGATAACACCATCCGAGACCGCCTCCAGAGATCCACCCTCGACACTCTGAAGAAACGGCGCGCAACTCCCCTGTCCAAGTGTCAATCATTTGAACAGACCTTGAGGGATCACCTGCTCATCATACAATGGTGTGCAGAGGGTTGGGCAGAATATCTGGAGATGAAGGAAGCCCAGTGCAAACACGTCACCGTCATGACAAGGTCTTTCCGCGTACACGACCTGGCGAAAGACGAGGCAAAATGGGAAGAAGAAGACAGGAATGCAGAACTTGCCGACAGGCACCTTGAGAGCAACGAAGACCCGGCGTCAAGGCCCTCGGGTATGCTCCAAAAAGTTGCTTCGACCCTGACCGGACTTTCTCGAGTTCCGACAGGAATCGTTGCGGCCCCTCCACGCCGACAACTTTCGTTCAAGCAAAAGATGTTGAGACTCGAAGATCAAGCCTCCTTTGCGGATATGCAAAGGCTCAGGCAATTGGCCGTGGATATCCAACAGGCAATGTCACGCCTTGAGCAGAGTGCCCGAGTTATCGAGGACGTCAGGAAGAGCTACCACGATCTGGTCCGTTCCGAAAAGTTCACACAGCACTTGACGGAGGAAGAAAAAAAGACTTGTCTAGGCCATTCTGATGATCTTGAGACCCAGCTCTGCATCGTCATCAGCAGCCTCGAAAGCTTTCGAGCACGGGCAAGGATCATCCACGACTGCACTGAACATGCCGGAGACATTGTAAGTTGGTTTCTTATTTCCTTGAACATTAACGAGAGTTTTCACATCACAAGCTAACGAGCGAGAAACAGTTCAACCATATCTTCCAAGAGCGCAGCATGTTCACGTCCGAGTACTTTGCTGCGTCCGGCCGAGATTCGGCAGATGCCATGGAACTCATGACCAAGCGCATGCACCAGAAAACAATGTCGATGCACGTCGTGACAATCGTCACGCTCATCTTCCTGCCTGGAACTTTCGTGGCAGTAAGTCAAATCACCCCAAGCCTCGCGCCGTGGTTGCTGACGCCGGGCAGACTGTCTTTAGCAGCGGCATCTTGACGTTCGGAGAGGAGGGCGACATCGGCTTCGGTAAGAACATGGGCGACTGGAAACTGAGGCTGGCCGGATTAAAACTCTTCTTCGCCATTTGCGTGCCCCTCTTGTTCGTTACTCTCTGTGTTTGGTTCGCGGCCTATAGGTCAGCCAGGCTCATGAAAGAGCCAGACGAGGAGAACGTCGCTTCCCTTGATATTTCATCCGCCGCGCAGGATGCTGATCAGGAAAAATCTGTCGCTGAGAAGCTCCCGGATGAGACAGGCCCTCAAAAACAGGCGGGAGCCGGCTCCGTGGCGCGGAAGGCCGTCACGTATGGCTGGAATATGATGCAAGGGGCAAGCCTCAAGGAGCTACACAGGACAGGCGGGATGGTTTTCTCGCCGCTCTAGAAAGGATCTATTCCTGATTCTATGAACAAGTACACGAGACCTGAGATTGTGGAGGATTATGCGGTACAAATCTACGAATGTCAAACTCTCTAGGTATGCTTTTTAGATCGTACCAACTTGTTACACTTCCATTGCAAGTTTTCAGCCTCAAGATGCATGAGGAAGGCGGTCGTTTCAATCGAAGTCTCTGCCTGTGTTTGCCTCGCTCCTCCAGAGCCGGCTGCCTAGGAGTGCAGGCGTGCCCATAGCCTGAAGCGCTCTAGTTTTGGAGCAGCAAAGCAGGAAGATCAGTCTGCCTTACGCCACCAGCTGCCACCCTATCCGCCTTCCTACCTGCCTGCTGCCTGGAAGAGGAGTGCGACGATTGGGGTGGTGGAAGGGCACCGGTAGAGCAAGCTGAACCCCCAGTGCCTGTGATGGTGGGATCCAGTAAGATGCTACATCCCCCTCAGGCTGCAGAGGGGTATTGGCGCATGACCACGGGCATGCAAGTACATGTATCCATCCCTGCAGCCGCCTCGATTTAAAAAGTGCTGTAGAAGCCTGGGGGTATATAGACATTGGTCTGTCTCGCGTGAGACACACTCATTTGCGCGCAAGGCTCACGATTTCCCCGTTCCAGAAGCTCAAAGTTGGCCGCGTTCCCCATCCATGAATTTTGGCCAACAAACCTACTCCAGAAACAAACTTGGAAGCCGCGGTTGTTCAGTTTGAAAATACTGATTGATTACTTTCACACTTACTGCTTTCCGGTCTCCGGGTCTCGAGTTCCCTCAGTCGCATGGGCTCTAGGTCTGACCGGACCTTATTCCGAAGATGACGGCAAATTCTCATTCGAGCTACGATCATCTCAAACGGGAGCTCGAGCGCCTTTCTCACCTACGTACTAGCGAGCCTCGCATCCCCTCAGTCTCCGTCCATTACATCACAAAACAACAGTTGAAGGAGCTGTGGACCCTATCGAAGATTCTACAGGTC